AAGAGGCAGCACCCAGACTAACAGCTATCTATCGGCAGGGGTATCCAGCTCTTGCTCAGTGAAAATCATTCTTTTTATGAACCAGGCTCTGAAAATGGGGTGAGAAACAGAGCATGCTGCAAACACATTGCAATCCCGCTGCCTTGCTGGGAAACTGTGTCTAGGCATCCCCATTGCGTATCAGGCAATGGAAGCAGCTGGGGAGGAAAGCCAAAAACTCATAGAACGGGGGGTCTAGGGAAGATGCCAACTCCAACCTAGCAATGCGTCGGGCCAGTTGCTCCTCTGACACACAGCGATTGCTGAAGCAGCAGGGAGGAAATCTTTCTTTTCACCTTTTCTTTGCAGTTTTGGTGCTCAGCATGGGGCATTGGACTTTTAAACCTTCCCGTGCCGCAGGGAGTTTTAACAACCAGGATCTGCAGGAAGGCGTTATCACTTTCTCCTGTTGATGCTGTTCATATCCCTGCAGGACCTCAGCAAACGGCCCTGTCGAGTAATGTCTAGAGCACGCCCAGGGATGTCGAGCATCGAACCAATGAATAGTTAAATAGCATCAGGAGGAGCAAAGCTGGAACATGTTGGATGCAGAATCTCCTGGGAAGGGGAATTATCCCATGCTGAGTTTCCCACACCTGATAATGCCGCATCCAGTGAGTGGCTGGGTGAAAGGAGGGAGAGGAGGGCAGCTCCTTGCTGGTCTTGCAAATGAGGCCTTCGCTTCCCTTGCTTTGTTCTGGTTAAAATGGGCACAGCAGAAGTAAAACATCTTATTTTCATTATAACAAGCAGCTTAATTGGTTCTGAACTGAATATTGGGTGTGCAGGGGGGGTGGGTAAAAAATACCCAAAGCTATTTTTTTATCAGTTTGGATGGAAATCACTTTCTTCTTTTCTTCTTCCAATGCCTGGGAATTGTTGCCGTAAGTCTTAAAGAGCGATACAGCGCTCTTAAAGAGAGATACGACGGAGGTATCCCCATGAGTGCCATCCAGCTCCAAAATCCCCTGGGGCAGAGTTTTAACACGGGCTGCAGGGAGTGAAGATGATGACTTGGTGTTAGAGGAGGGATGCTGCCCCAAGGCGATGCGGAGTGAAGCGTGAACCCCCTGTGCCCGCATTCTCCACCCTCAGGAGTCCCCCAGGCTTGTGGTATGTTTTGGACCGGAGAATCAGTGTTGTGTCACCAAAACCAGCCATGTGTCACCGGTTGCTGACAGGACAATGCGTTTGCAGACCCTTTCTGGATATCCCACGTATGTCCTCGAATTGGTTGCAGGCCATCAAGCCTTAGGTAGCAGAGGTCCTACAAGCCCTTAAAAGCAGACAGGCCTATGCCATCTGCTTCTTTTTTTCCATGATAAGAACTTGCTCAAAATGGTCACCTAAGATGCTGCCTCTTGTCCTGGGTGCCTCAGCCCCTGCGGTGCCCCAGGGCGTAGCTGCCTGCCTGGGATGCTTGAGCCAGGAGTTCCCCTTCCCACCCTCTTAGTGGGATCTGGTCCTCTGGGTGTCTGTGAGTCCCCTCAAGGGAGCCACCCCAGAATACTCTGCTTGGGAGGTGTCCCTGGTCAGAGTGCGGGTGCTTGCAAAGCCGTGCCAGACATGTCCATGGGAAACTCAATTTGTGCTTGATACTGCTGAGCTCCAGCAGAAGAGCTGAAGTTACTGGGAGGAGTGGGAGAGTCCTGATGCTCCAGTATCCACCAGGCACCCCGAGGCATTTGGAGCAAGGGAGGGCTCTGAAAGCGTGACTCTTGCCGGTGCTGGCAAGGCCGGGGATCGGGGGCCAGGCTGGGGGGTTCCTGCGGAGTGTCAGTGGGTGGAGAACTCATCCCTTGTTATTAATTTGCTGTTTCTTGGCTTTGCACCAGGTTTCAGATTCAAGCAGGGGTTTGCCAATTTGCCTTTTTTGTTTCATTGCGGTGCTCTGTGACGGCCGCACTGGCAGTGGGGGGCTCGGGGCAATGCCTTTGGCTTTCCCGCTCCAGTAGCTCGGTGCCACCAGTGCAGGGTGCTCAGCCCGTCCACCTGAGCTGGTGCAGCTCTGTGTATGCACATACACCTTCCCTTTTTTCCAAACTTTGCAAAGAGTGATTTGGATTCCACTGTTGTATAAAAAAGGTCTTGAGGCCCCACTGTCGGGTCTCCCGGCGGTTGTTTCTGCCATTCAGACACAGGTGGGATTTGGAGGGGGCTCTGTGCAGCGGGTCGGGGCTCTCCTTGCTTTCTGGGGCCACCAAATGCAGCTGGGTCGGGACGTCACTACCTGATGTGCAGTGGCTTCTTGATCTAATGATGCCCTGAGAGAACCCCCAGGTCCAAAGCAGCTGCCGTCCAACCTGCTTCTACTGATGAGTTCGAGCTCCACATTGAGGCATGCGCCAGCCCTGTGTCACCCCGCCGGACCGCAGCCCCAGGCTGTCCTGCAGCGCTTCTGGCCCTGAAAAGTCCTGTCCCACCATGTCCAGACCCTGCAGCCTTTAGCCACCTGGCACGTGCTGAGCTCAGCCCCCATCACCACCTTCGGCACAGCCCCTCCAAGCATGCAAAACGAGCAGCAGCCCTTCTTGCCAGCTGCTCAGTGAGGTTTTGCTGGGAAGTCTCGAAGCCCTGGGTGGACCATCACGTCAGGAGCTGCTGTGGGGTCACACGCTGGCACAGCACGTCACGGCCCGTACGGGAGCGATGGCCTGTTTTGGGGAGCAGCGGCATTTGTAACCCGAAGGATATTTGTGCTTTCGGCAGCGCACGGTGCCGTTTCTCTCGCTGTCGCTGGAGGGAGCTGCCCCATCCTTCATTGGCCTCCCAGGTGTTACGACAAGCTGCACCTCAAGTAGTTGCTAAAAATGAAGGAGCTGGAGGATTCCAGGGGGATTTCAGACGAAAACAGAGACCCAGGACTGGCTTCTTCTGCAGAGGGACCTTGGAAGGGCCCTGGGACACCACATGCTCCGGCGTGAGACCTGTGGTCTGGGGGCATCGGGTGGCATTGACGCTGATGGGACATGGAGATTTGCACAGCAGAACAGGGCGAGACCGAGACACAGAAGAAAGGAGCAGCTGTAGTTCCTGGGCTAGGCAAGGTTTGGGGTATTTAGCCTTCCCTCGCTGGTGTTTGGTACCGGCTGGCATTGTCCTCCAGGCACCTCCTGTAGATGCTGAAGATCAAATGCACCACTGGGGAGCAAACCCCAGATCTGCCAAAAAAAACCCCTGGCAATGAATAAATATAGCATAGCTCCTTCACCAGTTTCTGTTTGATGCATAAAAACCACCTTAGTCTAATCACTTTAGCATCCAGACTAAAACACAGCACTCCAGTATCTGCGGTGCACCCAGGGACTAAACAAGCTTTGAATTAAGCAAATAGAACATTAAAAATCTATTTCTGAATGCAAGAGCGAGCAGATAGATAGTGCAGAGCCAGGTATAATGGGCTGTTTGTGCAACTGTGCTTGAGGCTATCATTAACCGCAGGTTTTTCCCCAGGGAAGGAGGACAGACACAGGAGTTGGGGCCACTTTTAGGTACATCAGGTATTTATACAGCTGCTCTAGGGGACTAGAGCAGTCTCGTCTCTTCCTTCTGCAATGAGCAATTTTTGTCCCCCTTCCTCAACCAGCTAAAGAAGCACTTGCTGTTTTCTCCAGCTCCAGTATCAGGCCACATGTCTGGGATTGTAAACACGGCTGGAGTTTACCCCCATCATCTTCAAGGCTCCTGCTCCATCCCCAGCTCGTTTCATTCCTACATACGTAATCATTCCCCGGAAGTTGCAATAAATGCTTTTGGAGATGACTATGCAGGTATGGTATAAGCAGGTAAAAGGCTGCTACTTATCAGGGCTTGTCCTGATCAGCTCTGACTTTAATCCATCCAGATAATTCAGACCTCAGCCCCTGCTCTTGTTCAAGGAGTTGGCACAGGGTTTTCCAGCCAGCTACAAGGAATATCTCCCTGGTGCAAAGGGAATAAGAAAAGCCAGCTCACTGTCACTTGTAAACTTGCTGCCCCAGGGCCTGATTTCCAGAGGGAAAAGAAATTTCGAAGTCCATAAACTGCAAACAGATTAAAAAAAAAAAACCTACTGCTGGGGGCTATAGCAGGGATTTATCTCGGAGAGCTCCATAAGGCTACAGCTGAAAATTGAGGCCAGAAGGAAGCATAGTGCTCAGGTCAAACTCCCAACAAGTGAAGTTTCCAAATCCAGAGTCCTCACACAGCTCCCACACATCTTCTACTGGTAAACCATCGAGCAAATAATCCAGGCGGGACAGTTACAGGCTTGTTTTTATTAAAAGACATCTTCAGAAAAGATATTTCAGTACAAAAAAAAGTTTAATACACAAACTACAGTTGCTTTTTTTTTTTCCAGCATCAACATTTATAAATTACACCACATTGTTATTAACACTGCATTTAAATATGGAAACAAATTAAAACAGGAAATTCATCAACAAGATCCAACATCCTACAAATGACTATTTACAGTATTTAGCAGCTAGGAGCTCTAGCACAGTAGTCAATATGACTTCAATAGGGCAGGATGCTTGGGAAGCCCCAAGACAGCAGCTTGGCCCGTAACAGTTTTTGGGGACCTGTTTTGCCCACCTCTCCCCAAACACCCACCCCAAAGGCAGAGGCGATGCTGCATGTCAAGGTACACACCCAACAAGGCAGTGAGGCTCTTGCAGAGAAACCCTGTTGTCCCCTGGCCCTTTAGAGCAAGCTTTGGGGCATGCATGCAGGACGGTGCTATTCACTCTGCAAAGTACAGGGAGTCTGCTGGAAGAAGGCAGCCTCCGGGCTTCAGGGGGATTTACGGCTGACAGCAGGGCTGGTCCTGTACAGAGCAGTGACTGTCCCTGTGCCTGTGCTGTCCTAGCGCTCATCCTAACCACCCCCAGCAACACTGGTAGGCTCCAGGCAGAGCTTAAGACTCGGCCAGATCCTGGAGGTCTCTCATGCAACCGGCTGCAGGATCCCACCCAAGGCCTCCAGGATCTGGCCCTCATGCAACCGGCTGCAGGATCCCACCCATCGTCTCCTGGAGCTGGAAGCGGTTTCCCCAGCTCCCAGCAAATTCCAGTACAGCCAGAAATACAGGGCTTTGAAGCCATGGGGGCCAGAGAAGCCAAGTGAGCCTGAGGTCCCCTTCTGCACAGGGTGTCCTTCAGTCTTCCCATCAAAACCCATATTCTCAGCTCGTTGAAGTCACCAGAGCAGGGGCTGTGCAGATGGAGCTGCCCAAGGCTCACTGCCCCATGGCACCAGCTGGGGAAGGAGGCTCTGGGGGCTTTCACAGAAGGGTACATAGGACAACATTTGGGAACAGCAATGAGAGACAGGACACAGCAAGGCTCCGTACCCAACGCTTGGGTCCAGGGTAGCGAAACACTTCAATGTGCTCCCCTTCCCCCCAGCCCATCAAAACCAGCACAGAAGTGTTCAGACAGGACAGAAAGCACCAGACAACTTGAATTTGCCACAGCAGCATGTGGCAGGTTGGAAGACCCTTGTGCATGCTCTGGAGGTGGATCTCCCTGCTGGTGGCTCCTCTTCTGGTTTGGGAGCTCCCATCCAGGGGTTTCAGCAACATGGAGCTGTTTTACTTACAGCGAGGAGCTGTGTCATGCCACTAAAGGGCTGCTAACGAGAAATGCTCCTCGGGGGACTTCCTGGGGAGGGTGGGTTTGTTTTCTGTAAACACCAAGTGATGGAGCTCAGGTCTGTGCTCCACAGAGAAGGTCAAGTCTCAAGTGGCAGCTTTAGGGCTCTGCTTCCAGTGCTGCAGGTTGGATTTTCATGGTGGTTGACTTCAGTGGGTAATACCTGCCTTTCCATGTCTTCCAGAAGATGCCCTGCTTGCGCTCGTGCCTCTGGCGGGGGATGGAGCGGAAGTACTTCCCATTGAGGTTGGCATGGCCACAGGTGCTGAACCACCAGCCACCTACCAAGGCAACGCAGAGGCAGGTTTAACCCACAGCACTTCCAGACAGAAAACAAACCCAGGTTCAAGGCACCTGCTGCCCCCGTTTCCCCCACTTTTCCAGGGCTTTGGGACCTTACGAGACCACCTCATACACACTGGAGGAGTCCCACGCACTGGGAAACCTTTGCACAGATCCTATATGATTTCAGGATGCATCTGCAAATCCCTGGCTGCTCTTTCTTGCATGCAAAACCCCCTCAAACCCTTCAGCAGCCCCATCTCAGGCCTGGGGACTGGCCTCTGCTTCACTTGAAAGGTTTCCAAGTGAGGTGGCAGCCAGCAAAGCTGTTATGGAGACAGATGTTTGAGCCAAGGCCTGAATCATGAACCCCTCCTGGTTTCAACTTCCCTCCCGGTTCCCTGCACGGCTCCTCCCAAGGATGCAGCTTTCCCAGGGAAGCAGGGGACAAGCTGGGCTCAACACCAAAGGGGTCTAGTCCTGCAGGGACATTGTCCCACTCACGGCCAGCACCAGACAGCGGAGGGCTGAAGGGAAAGTGCATGCCACTGGGAAGGAAGAGCTCATACTGACCTGAGAGGTGTTTGGCACAGTTTGTGTCAGCTTTGAGGTCGTGGTCGCGATCCCGAGTGGAGAAGGGCAGCTGCCTGAAGTCCCCGATGGCATTTTCCAGCTCTCCAGACAGAGGTCCCAGCAGGTTGAGCATGTAGGCTGTGCTCTCACCACCAAGGCTGAAGACAAATTGAACCACCTGGGAATTTCCCTCCCAGTCTTCCAGCTCAATCAGGAGATCGTATCTTCCCTCTTGGACAAGGTGATGTATCTTCTCCAGGCCCAGCCAGAAGTCACCTGAAACAAGACACATTGCATTAGCTGCAGGGACACAAACATGCCATGCAAAGCAGACATGTGAACAGACTCCAGAGAAAAACAGGGACAACCCAGGACACTGCGGCATTTGAATTGCTGTCTGGCACCTGCAGGACAAGTCAGGAAGACCAAGGACTCTTGCTCTGCAAGCAGCGTCCCCCTGTCCTCAGCCCAATGCTGTGCTCTGGCATGTAGAGATCTCCAAGGGCCAGCAAGGGGGAATAACTTGTACTAAGATATCACTTATCCCACAATAAGAAGATAGACACCATCATCCACCTACCACGAAGGTCTCCAAAGCCATTCTTGTAGGCATCCCAAAGCTGGTCAAAGTCCACAGAGCCATCTGTGCGCCTCTGGATCACTGTCCAGCCACCTTCTGCAGGCAGGGAAAACATGGTCATTTGGGGTTACCATTTGCAAGACCACCGTGCAAAGCACTGCGGGACATCTCCACTGCTTTACCTGCAGTCATGTCACAGTAGACTTTGAAGGGCTGAGACCCTGTAGGCTGCACTTGGAAAACACCGCTGCTTTGCTGCCCGTCCAGGAAGAGCTGGTGGCAATCCTCCGGGAGCTCTGCGGGGGAAGGAAACAGCCATTGAGAAGATGGCCCCGAGTCCCACTTCCTCAGCAGGTTGCTCCTAGCACAGCCCCGGCACTTGCAGCCCTGGCCCTGAGCCCAGCCAGCTGTGCACAGTGGTGGCTGCGGCTCTGGACATGTGCTGGACACGACAGCCCCCGACTTCAGCATCTTTAAATGCTGTGACCCTGTATCTTCCTATTTATCCAAACAAAGCTCTTTGGGCTTCCTCCCAAGGCAGAAGCCAGGCATCGGGCCAGGCTGGGGTGACCCAGGCTGGAGAGCACAGCTCCCCATCGAGGAGAGACCTGAGGAGCTTCCCAGCTCCCTCCGTGCCCGCAGCAGGCAGGTGCAGCTCATTTGGGGTGGGGTAACACCAGGGGCAAGCCAGGGCCAAGCATCCTCATCCCACCCCGAGGCTGAAGCAGTCTCAAAGGGCCTCAGGGACAGAAAGAAACCCCAAGTCCTGACATCAGGAAGGCGCCTGAGCATCCAGCACATGACCTCTTGCTCCTGGTGACTGCGGTGGCCCCAGCCAGACGTCCCACTGGGCAACCTGCCACCAGCAGGCATGGGGCCAGCTGGGGTGACCCTTTTGCCCAAGACACACCGACCAGGGCAGGGAAGGGGTGGGTGGACTGCAGGGAGCCCCAGCTCATTGCACGAGTGGATTGCCTAGGGTGAGGCCACCCCCCAGCTTGCCCCCCTCCATCCCCACACCGGCGGGGCTCCCACCTCTCCTTCCGCCCCTGTGGGGACTTTGCCCAGAGCTGCCAGCAAAGCACCATTTCAACAGCGCTGATAAAAGTCCATCCAGGAACCACCACCCACAGCACTCGGGGAGAGACGGTGGGGGGGGAAAAACCTGTTACAAAACCCGAGTCAAAAGGCCGCAGAAGGATGTGCAGGGACTTCAGCCCCTGGGCTGTTGGCGCGGTCAAGGGGCTCTTTGTCAGCCGGGACAGGTGCCCCCGTCTCCCCCAGACAAAGGGGGTCTGTTCTCCCCGCACAAGGGTGGGATGGATTTTGGTGGCTCACAGCTGCTGCCAGCAAGACCTCACGGCAGACGGGTGAAGAAACCTGAAGACAAGCCCCAGGCTGTGCCGGGGTGCTGGCTTGCCCCCACAGCCCTCCTGTGGGGTCCCCCTTGCGGTAGCTGCCCTTGGGGTCAGAGCTGGCACCGTGATCCAGGGCAGCAGTGGGGAGAGGGGCTTCCCCCACCACCATGGGGCTTCACGTGGGGCAGAAGGGGGGAAAATGGGGCCTTTGAGCTGCCAAGGGCAGGAGCAGCCCCTGTGGGGCATCGCCCCCTGCCCCTATCCTCGCTGGGCGCCTGAGGAGCCCCGATGCTGTGTCGGGGAGAAGAGCGGAGCCACAAGTGGAGGAAAGGTGAGTGTGGGGGGGGGATCCAGGGAATGCCAATGTGACACCTGCCACCACCTTTCACCCATTCCCCCCCCCCCCCCACC